TCCAGCGATCCTTCCATCTCAGCCTTCCAAGTAGCTGGAACTACAGGCGCGCGCCACCACGCCCGGCTAATTTTTGATTTATTGTAGAGATAAAGTCTTGCCAAGTTGTCCAGGCGGGTCTCAAACCTGCCGGCTCAGGCAATCCACTCACCTCAGCCTCCCAAGTCGCGGAATTACAGGCTGAGTCACCGAGCCCGGTTTATCCTAAATTTTTATAAGGGCAAGAGGTAATGCTTCTGGTCATTTCAGCCCAACTTTTTGGCAGACTCTTCCCAAAGTCTTTTTTACGTCCAGATTTTTTACATTCTGCTTGTGCTGTGGATTAGGTGTGGTGTGGGGTATGAAATTTTAATGAGTACCCTGAAGTTTTTTGCAATCAAATGGTTTATTTCTGCTGTAAAATGAGTCCCCTGGTCTGATTTGATCCTTAACACAATGTTAAAATCAGAAATAATCTTGATTATGAATTTCTTTCTTTATTTTTGAATTAGGGTCTCATTCTGTCACCAAGGCTAGAGTACAGTGGCATGATCACAGCTGACAGAAGCCTCCAACTCCTGGGTTCAGGCAATCCTTCTGCCTCAGCCTCCAGGCAGCTGGAACTACAGGCATGCACCATCACACCAGCTGATTTTTAAATTTTTTGTAGAAACGAAGTCTTGGTATGTTGCCCAGGCTGGTTTTGAACTCCTGGGCTCAAGTGATCCTCCTGCCTCAGCCTCCTAATGTTCTGGGATTACAGGTGTGCACCATGGCGCCCAGCCAGTTATGAATTTCTTCATCAGTGTTGTGATGTGAGCACATCTAGTCAGATAGCAGTCAGTCCATCCACTGAACATACAGACAACAACTAAACAGCGGACATACCCTAAAGCTGGAGGTCAATCTATGAAATCCATTTGGAGTGCTGCCAGAGACAATGTAGGCCTTGGAGGACTCCCTGGGAATGCTGGTTTCCTCCAGAGGTATGGTGAGATTTACAAGTCATGCACTGGGAAGGAATCTGGTCAGAAATTGTGCGGATACCAGGGTAGAACTAATTATATTTTAGTTCATTAACTATCTCCCATCTCCACATATGATAAGTGCAAGCCAAAAGGTCAAATGAAAGGGTCACAGAGAGTCTATTCTGCTCAATGTATAATCTAGCTGAGCATTATTTGCCACCTTTTTGTAACTGTTTGTCTTTTTCATGTTGTGAAGCATATGCCTAATAGTCATAAGAATAATAATAATCAATAATATCAGTCATGGATAAAGGCACATAAGAATAATAGTAATCAATAATATCAGTCAGGGATAAACTGCATGGAGAAAGGATGGGGGGGTTCCAATTGTGACTGTGTATTTAGCAGCCTGGTCACTCTCTGGAGAGACAGTGTCATTCTCCTCAGTATGAGCTGAACGAGGAGCAATAGCATTTTATAGGGAGCTGAATTGCCTGTAATGGGGCAAAAACTATTTTTTATTTTTATTTTTTGAGTTAGGAGTCTCACTCGGTCACCCAGGCTGGAGTGTAGTGGCACAATCGTAGCTCACAGTAGCCTCTACCTCCTGGGCTCAGGCGATCCTTCTGCCTCAAACTCCCAAGAAGCTGGGATTACAGGCATGCACTACCACACCCAGCAGGGCAACAATGATACATCCATTGGCAATAGGAACACCAGCAGAATTTAAGTATCCTTGGGGCTGGGCTCCATGGCTCATGCCTGTAGTCCCACCACTTCGGGAGGCTGAGGCAGAAGGATTGCTTGAGCCTAGGAGTTCAAGATCAGTCTGGGCAACATAGCAAGACCTTGTTTCTACAAAAAATTTTTTAAAATGAGCCAGGTGTGGTGGCACACACCTGTAGTCCCAGCTTCTTGGGAGACTGAGATGGAAGGATTGCCTGAACCCAAGAAGTTGAGGCTGCCATAAGCTGTGATCATGCCACTGCACTGCAATTCTCAGGAATTGCAGATTGTTCCAACAGTCAGCAGATTCTAGCTGGAATCGGTGTAAATTGTGGCAGTTTTCCCTTTTGCTAATATGCAAGTTTAGTTAGAGCTATAAGCTCAGCAGCTTGGGTTGACCTTATAGTGGGTAAGCAGATGCCTCAAGGGTTTTGTGTGGAGAAACTATGGCATAGCCAATTATTATATTTCCCTGGAAATTTCATGTATGGGAGAGTACAAAATAGGCATAAGTCTGGGTTGTCTAAGGAGTGCCCAAGCATCTTCTTGTGCAGCCTTGAGACCCTTTTTATAACTGCAAGGTGTCACGTGGAATGGAGTGGGGCCTCCATCTTAAGAGCGGGCTAGGAGAGTAGCTGAATTTAAAGTGGCACAATGAGGCAACCTCCTCGGGTCCCCACCTACTGTTTTTCTGTTCTTTCAATAAATCCTGCTTTCTCACTTAAAAAAAATAAAATAAAGTGGCACAATGGTGCATGATGATGGTGGGTTTGGCTAATAGGGCCTGTTCATAGATGGTCCGGCACTGTGGAGAGAGGTGCTGTGTCTCATGAGCTTGGAAGAGAGTAGACACCGCACAGGGGCTGTGAGGAGCCTGATGCAGGAGTGCTGGCTTTGTCGACGAGTGTCAGCTGCAGCCAGTGCATGCAGGTGTGGGGGCACGCCTGCTGCCAAAGGGTCCCATCAACATGAGGAACATGGAATGTGTCTGAGAGGTTTTGTCCTACAACACCTGTGGCAATTTTATTATTTTCATAGTAATTTTCATAGTTGGTCAAAATTTGGTAAGCCAAGAGCAGGAGATGTGGTCAATGCTAAGTTTAAGGTTTCAAAGGAGGTTAATGCCTCTGGGGGCCAGGAAATGGATGTGGGTGTTGTGTTTGGGAGGAGGCCATATAGACGTTTAGCAAGGGCAGGAAAATTAGGAACCCAGCTGTCCCAAGAAATTTATGTAATTGTTTTTCATTTTGGGAAGAGATCAAC